CTCTGATTGGTCTGGACAAATTTGACCTTACCATCGCCTGAGGGCAGGCTCTATTTTGGAGGGGGGGGGTGGATGTGACGATTCAACTTGCCTGTCGTCACGTGAGCGGTGAGAAAAGCGGTGAGGTATAGGTACGGCAGAATACTTGCATAAATCGCCTCGCTAGCGACCTGGCTCCCTTCCTTCTTCTCCTCTCCTCCCAGCCTAGTCTCTTGTAATTTAGATCGCTCCTAGTGATAAGAAACTGCTCTATTGCCTGGAATTGGATCCGTCACACTTATTAGAATATTAACCCTAAGAACCTAGCCTAATAAGCTAAAGTTATAGTTTTAAAACTATATAAAATATTAGGCCTTACCTATATCTTTATAATAGTTATATAATAGGCCTAAGAAAATATAGTAAAATAGCTTAATAATAGGGAGAGATAAGGTAGATAGAGGGTGAATCATAATAAATATAAGTTTAAGTCTAAAAGAATCCTTATATTACTTTAGATAAGATACATATTTTTAAGTATTTTAAAAGATTAATTATGGTTAATAAGTATTTATAAATATATAGCTAGGTAGTTAGGCTAATTACTTAGATAGGTTTTTAACTAGTCTATCTTATTTATTATTTTCTTAGGGAATTTTAGAAAGAAGGATAAATAAGAATAATAAAAGGTAACCTATAATATATAATCTAGATTAAGCCTTAAAATATTTAAAAAGCGATCATCGATGCCAAGGGGAACCTGAATCTCTACAAAGAGTCCTCCTGCCTGACCGAAAGCACTTGTTGTAACCCTGAAAAGTCCGGCTCCAACAAGTCTGCGAATGATCATCTTAGGCTTGACTTTAATGAGTGGGTTGGTTAGTCAACATCCTAATGGATTTTAGTTTAATGCAACTGCTGCTGATAATTGACTGTTTCCCAGGTTCTTTTCATATTTACGCCGTCAAACCCGGACAAGCTGTCTAGTGTCTCTCCCCCCCCCCTTCCCTCTCTCTCTTTTTATTTTTTTTTTTGTAAGTGGACATTCAAGGAGAGAGATGAGGAGAATGACGAGAATTCAGCTGGGGATATATTATTCCTATATTAAAGCTGTAAAGTAATCCATTCATGGCTGACTGTCAAAAATCCTAATATCGTTTCTTTGGTCCTTTCTCTTTTTTTTTATTTCCTTTACTGTGTTTGTTTTTTATCATGTTCTTTTTTCTTTGTTGCACACCTAGACAAGCATAAGTGGCTAAATATGACCACCTCAACTCAGTCCTTCCAACCCAGTCGCTTCGCCACAAATTTCACAGCATAGACAAGTCCCAGAAGCACAGGAACCTCAATCAAAGGACCCACGGTAGATGCAAGAGCCTGGTTGCTGTTCGCCCCAAACGTCGCAACAGCGACGGCGATAGCAAGCTCAAAGTTATTACTTGCTGCAGTGAAGCTCTGGGTAGCAGCGAGCTTGTAGCCGAATCCCAGTCTATACGTGACGAAGAGAGTGGCGAAAAAGACAATTATGAAATAGACAGCGAGAGGTGCGGCAACACGCACGACAGACACAATCTGATGGACCACCTGTCGTCCCTGAGAAGCGAATAGAACCAGAATCGTGAACAAAGTCCAATGAGTGACCAAGGGCTGATCCATTTCAGAAACACTTGGTCGTACCAACGCGGGCTGGTGATCTGCCGAAGGGTGAAGCGCGTAACAATTGCTGCACCCAGGGGAATCCCAAGAAAGACTGCAACACTTTTTGCAGCAGTGGAATATTGGAAGGTGACTGAATCGCCAGCTCGGCTGATAACTTCGATGAAGAAGACTCCTAAGGGCGCGAAGAGCACCATTTGAAGAAGAGAGTTGATGGCAACAAGGATAGCACAGTATTCGGTATCACCTCCTGCGAGCCCGGTCCAGATTAAGACCTAGTGAGAAGCATCAGTGTTAGCAAGTACATCAATGATTGGGAGAGAGATGAAGTTGGTGGAGTAGACTCACCATAGCGATACATCGGGCCAGTCCAACGAGGATCAGTCCCTCACGCAGCTCCGGCTCGTCTGGCAAGAAAGCCCACGCCAATGCCAGCTGACAGAATTCAGCGTTAGTGAATACCTGTTAAGTGATAATAGCAAGGAATAACATACCATCAGGAAAGGCGCGATGATCCAATTGAGAAACACGCTGAATGCAATTTGAATCCATATCTCGCGTGTCCGAAAGACATGATGCAAAGACTCGTATCGAATTTTACAAAGGATGGGATACATCATGACGAGAAGACCGACAGCTGCAAAGGGAAAGTTAGTAGAATTTTCCTATAGTGTCGATATCAGGGTCACTGCCTACCAATTGGAACAGAGACACCAACAAACGTTCCCTTTTGCAATGCAGGTCCAGTATTTGGCACGAAGTTGCCCAGAATAATTCCAATTGCCATAGCTAGAAAAATCCATACCGCCAGGAAGCGGTCGAGGATACCGAGATTCTTGAATGCGGACTGTTTCGCTTGTGGCTCATCCGACGACTGTGAGTCGCCGTGCTTTTCCACATCACAGGCTGGTGAAGCGAACTTATCAGCGGCAAGATCAGATCGAGTGCCCAGATCGGACGGTTGATCATGAGGAGCCTCTATAGAAGCCATCTTTCATTTATTTTGCATGAAAAATATAGTGTATACCATAGTGTAGACCAAGTGGGAAGACGGCAATGGTTGAAGGGAAGTCTTGGGCTTTATAGGGTGGTCAAGAATGACCGACTTATAGACGAGAAGAAGCGGTTGTTTTTTGCCACCTGTCGTGGAAAAGGGAACGCTGATCAAACCGCCTCCACCGTAATGAAGATACTGTGCATTGGTAACCCCAATGCTTGATAGTTCAGCAAACAACCAATACTAGAGTTTTCTTCCTCTTTTTCCTGTTTTTTTTTTTCTTTGTTTCCCTCGGATCACGGACTGGGCGCAGTATGATAGCGGGAGAAAGATTAAAGTTTATGAAAGGATCTAGACTAGCGTCCATTCTCCATCCACTAGCCTTTAGTTTACTGGGGAGTATTATGTATGCTGGAAAGAAAAAGCTTCAGAGAGCGGAAAGTTGTCTGTCACCGCCACCAGCCAATGATAGTCCGGGAGTGACACAACTCCAGAACTGTATACTGTGTATCTAGTCCAAAGGGCATGGCATTATTTTATTTATTCGGATCTCCAGAGAATGAAACCTACCTGGTCATTCATCCCTCCAGTTTTGGGGTCGAGGTCAGTGTCAGAATCACCAGCATTTTCTCCTCATCGATTTTTTAAATGGCAGCTTCAGCCTCAAATATCATCAGTAAGAATGAACCTAGCAAAGTAATGCCACCATCCGAAGTTCCATGGCATGCGGCTTATCCTGCTGCAAGGAGTGTGGCAGTCTCTCTATCTCGTCAGGAGTTGCTACAGTGGTTTCGAGATGGTAAACGAGTGGGAAAGGATTTTGTCCTTGTTGACCTGCGACGGACTGATTTCGAGGTATGCTGAGAGGCTTGAGGTCCATGGGACAGCAGAATACGCTGACGCACAGCTGCAGGGAGGTACCATCCGAGGATCCTTGAATCTCCCAGCACAGAGTTTATATCCTACCATTCCGACTCTTTATTCTCTTCTATCTAACAGCGGTGTGAAACATGTTGTCTGGTATTGCGGTCAGTGTTGTCAATTCAGAGAGTTCTACTATTTCTTAAATCAATTTTTTTTGTTTTCTGGTGGCTAACACAGATATCGCTTATGTACAGGTTCATCAAAAGGCCGCGGAACACGTGCAGCAGGTTGGTTTGCGGATTATATTGAGGAACAGCGAGATAAATCCCTGAAGAGCCTTGTGCTGGATGGGGGGATTAAAGGGTGGGCCACTGCTGGGGCGGAGTACACGCAACTGATGGATGAGTATGATGCATCAGTATGGACAAAGTAGTTGGTCTGTCTGATGAGTCGGAGATAGCATATACCCATGTCTCTAGCCTTAGTACTGTGCACTTACCATGGCTAAGAATAGCGCTTGCTCCATGATACAGGGATCTGTAAGAGGCATAAGTTCTCTAATAATGTTCTATATCCTCTAGCATGTATAAAGCCAATTGATTGTGTCATTTAGCTAAAGTACTGTTCCTTCTTTTTGCCTCTTTCAATCTCTTCTCAGCTCTTTCGCTGAAACGATCAGCAAAGAGACCCATGTGAGGCCGCATCAGAATGGTATATTTGACAAACTCCTCCATGCAATCCACTAGACGATCTCTATTACCACTAGGCATGAGTCGCTGGTCTCCCGGTTGACCTTCATCCGGAAAATGTGTATATGCTTTGGGAATTGATGATTGATTCGGAATAGTAAACATACGCATCCAACGGCCAAGAATGCGTAGGGAGTTAACTGTATTGAACGATTGTGATCCACCACACACCTGGACAATGGCAAGCGTTCGGCCTTGTGTCGGACGGATGCTTCCAGTGGTCAGAGGAATCCAGTCAATCTGATTCTTGAAAACCGCGGTCTGGCACCGCCAGAGAAGAAAGAATAAGTAATCAATCCATCAAGTGTTTGAACAGATTCAGGGAGAGGAAGTTACTAACCAAATTGCCATGCTGTTCTGGTGAGACCCAGACATGCCCATCACTCCAGTTACTGAGCTCTCGGAGCTCCCTCACTTTAGGATGGCCATGATCGGTATCATTTTTCAACGGTAGCCCTTCGGGGTCGAAGACGCGCACATCACAGCCAAGTCGGAAGAGGATACGGCAAGCTTCGAATGCCACAAGCCGTGAGTATGACCTTCTCCGAAGACTGCCGTATAGTACAAGGACTTTCAGCCTCTTCTTTGTATTCTGTAGATCATTCTCTGCCATATCCAGGACGGTTGTCAACTCCAGATTGTTCACCCAGTCCTCAGCCGCGTCTTCATTGAGGATGAATGGGCGGTACTTCTGACGAATATCAATGTCGTCTTCGCTTTCTGGCAAGGCCAACGATCGGTAATCTGGAATCTGTATCTCTCTATGCTGAGAATCCACGTCCGTCATCGCTGTCTGAGCACCAGTGGAATGCGCCATTCTTGCACCCACACAGTACAATGCACGTAGTCGGAAAGAAGTCGATGTAATCCGTTTACACGACAGTGATAGTCTAAGGCAAGAACTCATCGCGTGATTGGTAAAACTCTTTTAAAAAAAGACAGCCAAGCATTAAAGAAGAAAAATTCACAAACGAGACATGGATTACATATCAGAAAGGAATGAAAGAGAGATCAAATGAACATATATATATATATATATAATCATACCTTTCAGATTTGCGGGAGCGGGCGAACTGACGGCATTTTATACATGTACAGTAACTCACAGAGAATAGAAAAGTAGCGGTTATGCCAAGAGATTGCACCTCAAAATCACCAAGGTATGTCACTGGCAAACTCCCATTGGATAAGGGATGAAGGATGGTGGAGCCATGATGCCGGGCTAGACCGTCGCATTATTGAACCCGAGAGATATCTGAGAGAACTCTTGTAGTGCTTATTGATTGATAATGATATAGTGATCCAATTAGAAACAGTTTTTCCTTTTCTTTTCTTCTCTTCGCTTTGAGAATCTGAGTCTCAACTGTACTGCGAGGTGGCAAAAGTCCAATCTAGCTGAAAAGTTTGAAGGCTGGATAAACTTCGACAAGCTATCTGTTCTAGCGAATGATCCAAGAATACAACTTATCCAGCGAACCAGCGTCCATTCCAAAATGTTAGCTTTGTAAAATGCTTCGCGGTGTCTCTTGATTGTCTGGCTCACTATCATGACGAGGATGGAGACCAGGAACTCTAGAAACGCGAAGATGATCACTGGGGTAAGCGATACTGCTCATTGCACCGACGGAGGGGATTAATTGATCCTTAAGCAACTGATGATATTCTAGGCGGATCGCGCTGCTACGTCCGCTCGAATCCGTGACAACCAGCGGCGTTCTCGCGCGACGGAAAGAATACATTCAAGATCTTGAGCAACGCTTGAGAATGTTTGAAAGACTCGGTATTGAGGCGACACATGAAGTCCAAGCGGCAGGAAGGAGAGTAGCGGCAGAGAACGCTTTGCTCCGATCCCTACTGAGACTCCATGGTGTCACGGATGCGGAGGTTGAAGAGTATTTGAAATCACAAAGAGACCCAACAAGCCCTGGTCCGTCAACGGTAACGCCACTGTTGCCAACTCCGCGACCGCCACCAGCAAGCGATCCTCCGCCAACAGTCTCAAGTGATCATCTGATGAAACACCAGCTTTCCCAGCTAATTCCATCCCATCCGGAGACGAGCAGGGTACGCGATAATCAGCTTCAGGAGCCGGATGTTGTTGGGTTGCCTCTTCGCCACCAAAACCAGTTGCCATAGGGCATGTATATCTTCCCAACGGCCCAGATTCCTGTGGTGAGTGGCCGGCAGCCGTGGGTTCAGTCAATCTTGAACCCTCCTCTGAATTACAGCAATCTCGTGGCCAACTTGATACGGGCCAAGTCACATCGTGTGAGACTGCAGCCAGAATTATCACAATGATGCGAGGCTACTCAGATACACAGGATGCGCGGGCTGAACTAGGCTGTTCTTCTGAATCCAACTGTATGGTGAAAAACATGGCAATTTTCGAGATACTGGATAGATGATGAGCCTGGCATGCATGAACCTGGGGCCATTGCAACATGTCTCATCGCAATGACAGCCTGAATTCTGTTCTTTCTCCTTAGGTCTCTCGCGAAGTAAGTCCACACATTAATCATTAGCCGCTAAGAAATAATGTCTATTTGAAATAAATAGATTGAAGCCTAATCCAGTCTGTAAGTGACTGGTTACTATGACTAGAAATATCGCAATATACTTCTGTTCTTATTGCTCCATAAATATGACATATTTAGCAGCCTAACATTTATAATTTGAAGGGAGTTATGGAAGGGTTTAAAAGTACTCTAGCCTAACCTGAGTTCGTTGGAAATTGTATTTTTCTAAGTCTGTTGAAGCCAGCGCATTAGGTATATAGCATCTGAGCACTGCAAGGAGCTCAAGCTGCGGGTAATCGCTTCGCCTTCTATATAAGGCTAGCGCAGCTCTATAGAATAAAAAGCGATAGAGATGCGATAGAGCATATCGCTAGGTTAGCACCCTAGGCAATTAACTGCTATTATCGCCGCTAATAGGAGCACCTCAATGCCCAGTTTCCCGCTCATTCCAACAAAGTCTCTACCTCTGTTATTAGGCCTTAGCTAGCTAGCCAATATTATTATTCCTTTGACTAATGATAGTAGTAGTCTTGTAGGATTTTGATCTATAGTGTACTTTATAGACTAGGCTGACCGTGGGATGGGAAATCGGGATCCCAAGGGGGGTCTTATCCCCTCCCACGGGATGCCAAGACCGTATGGGATGGGATTCCCATGTTATGGGATAAGGGATGGGAATATCCATTCCTAATATTAATATAAAGTCATCCTATTCCTGTTCCGTTTCCTATTAAGGAAATTCCCATATTAGCTATAGATTTATTAGGAATTTCCCATCCTACAGTAAGCACATTAGAGGAAATTCCCCTCTCACTATATAATCTAAAGGGAAAATCCCTTCCTGTAATATTATTATCTATCAAGACCTAGCGGCAAAGGTAAAATGCATTGATTCGTGCTATCTATTCTATCTGAAAAAAAAGGCAGAATCGACGAGAGAGAGAAGGAGAAGAAGAAGAAATTGAGAGGCGTAGACTCAAAGAGAGATATCTATGTGGGTCAGGTGAAGCGAGGTGTCACGTGAAGCAAGATCATGTGACCTGAGAACCACGCTCCGCCAGCCGGGTCAGTGCCTGGAGCCTGACATCGCCAGCGAGAAAACAGGGATCCATCGCCATATCCTTGAATCTGTCTGAAAGGAAGATAATCGGGCGTTGTCCAGGCATGAATGAGACCTCTATCCTGTCCCTACATACCTAACCTGCATAAATCTGGCTGGTCAACCGAAGACAAGAGAATGGAATAGAAACAGGGAACCTTTATTCTAAACCCCTTGGAGAGAGGGCACCGTCAGTGCATGGATTTTGATTATTTTTACTCAGATGATAGTTAATGTGGTCTTTGTATGGGTGAGGGCGAAATACACTGCTCATGGAGCGGGATTGGTGTGAAAAGCAAGGACCGGAATGTGTCTTGGACGATCCTGCACAATGTATCTGCATGGCAATCCGTCCATGGGACGCTCTTGCTGAATAGTCAAAGTAGCAGTAAGTTGCTGCTATTTGCGCAAGCATCCATCAGCTAAACTGTGTTCTACTTATTGTTGCCCTTGGTCGCAGAATGACAAGAGATCCAGGGATGGGCCAATATGCCCATGATGCCACCGGATGCTATCGCCTGGAGCCTGGATAATGGCCTGACTAGCACAGCCAACAAATACAGAGCCCAACCTAGCAGAAGTGGGCAGTGTTGATGCATGAGAAGCGGAACGACTTAGAGAAGATGCTTTTAGAGTAACTGACTGGCCACTGATATGTATATGCTCAAAGGTTTCGGGCCAGTTTATCGCCAAGTATGCTGTGCTCGCTCCCCTGAGTGTTCACGGCAGGGTCACCACCAGGTGAACTGCACCAATGTACCCGGGATTCAATGCGCACTTCTGGATCCGGTCAAAGCCCGCTGGCCTAGGGAAGGGGGTGCAGCGTACGAGGTGGCTTTGCTATGCAGGACATTTATGTGCATGAAAAGAGCAGCGATCCCTGTCCCGATTACGTTGGAAGCGCAAGGAAGAAATGGTATCAGACAGCCTTATAAAGGCGACGAGGCCACCTTTGAAACCGACATGTTCCTTAGAGCTCAGTGCATTCCCGTCTTTCCTCTCCTTTGGCCTCAGAACACACAGAAACATTGGATCTATCTATCTCATTTACTTGTTGCAGATATTATGTCAGAAGTCAGATGCAGGTTGAGACTGTTCCATTATGCAACTTTGGGCAGCTTGTGGCTAACATATGTTCTGGTGGACAAAATCACAGAAGCGGTCTCTAGTCATACAGTCTTTCAAGATTTGGGAGGCTCTTACAATATTGGATCTCTCCCAATGTCGACTACATGGAGAGATCATGAGATTAGATCGATAATGAGCGGAGAAGATGAAGGAGTCAAGGCATTGCTTTGCAGAATTTCCCCCTTTGATGAAATATTTGCCGCTTCTCTGCGGATATCAGTGCCCCAAACCACCGTGGCGAAGATCAATTGGCGTTCATTCCTTCCTGGTGGGCAGAAATCTGGTGGTCCACTTAATGTCGCCGAAGCCATTTCCAACGAAAGCTGGATGCGCTTCCACCAAGTGTCATTCTGCTGGGTGCGTCTTTCGCTAGGCTTTGAAGACAAAGCTGTCGAATCATTCAAGTTCTGCTATGAGGAACTGAGACTTCATGTGTACCACTACCTGCGTACGCATGTTGACAAATGCCCTTGGTTCTTTGAAGTTGCTGAGGTAAGTGGAGATATCCCGCTATAAAATTCAAGGTTTGGTCGCGCTGAGCGTTGTCACAGGCACTGAAGAGGCAGAATCCTTTTGCGTATTCTGCTCTCTCTCGCGGGATCAACACGTTCATTAGTCACCAGCAGCTCGAATTTGTTCTCGAACTCGATTCCATTCTTGGTCCTCTACGTAATCTTCTCCACAACAATGATCTCTTGCTGCCAGAGCTTCTTCGATATCTCACTGTTCTAGAAGTACGCTACCGAGATAAATACCAGGGGACAGATCCTGTTGATTGGCAGTCAGAATTCTCAACTATGATTGAGCTGTACCCGGCTATAACCAAAGATAAGCCCCCATCAGACACGCTTAAGGAAGGAGGTAACTCCGAACGCCATCTCTCCAACTCCTCGAGGAAAGACGGAATATGGCTCAGTCCGAGCGTACGAGCCCGTCGATTGTGACCGCCATAGCCGTATATTTTGCTCACGGCGCGACCTATGATCCGGGCGAGTTGCACGTGGGCACGAAGGCCTTCGGCGCTGGGGAGCCCACTGTCCGGTGTCAATGATAGAAGGTACACGGCACTTGAGTCATGAACTGAGGTTCACTCACGGCTCATCCTTGGGCAAATCGACGCCGATATCATCGTCTGATATCATGTTCGGCCGTCCCAGAAGACAGCTCACGAATCTAGCATCAATTAAAGTTAGCCGCGCAGTCCTTTCTTTTGCTGCGGTGGATCTACCAACCTGTCGAGGACATAGACCGTCCAAAACTGGCGCTTCTCCCTTTCGCCCGTCATCCAGCTTTGATGGAATCCGTACGTGATTGCGATGTGCCCCGCGAGTCGGATGTAGGAGTAAGCTGCGTCTCGTCGATTTTCGCCCAGCAGATAGTACCCCATCAGGGAAAGACACTGGATATGCGCTGGAGTCGCTGTTTCCAGGGGGCTCCGGAACAGAAGTTTCGCGCGCGCAAAGTAGCTCTGACTGGGCTCGGAACCCGCTGACCGTGCAGTCGCCTATTTGCTTGCCACGGCCAGGGCCGCATTCAAAATGGCAAGGAGGCTTGACCGCGTAGAGAGCCCGTCGAGCAACTGCGGCCAGTAGGCTTGGCGCAGAATATGGGATAATGTTCCCCCAGTAATGGATACTGACGTCGTTCGTCTGATCGTCGAAACTGGGCAACGTGGAAAGAAGCGTCTCTGCCTCAGTGAACGACGGGAGATAATACGGATCCACCTGAGGGAGAAACAGTGGCCGAGAGTCATGCGTCTGGTACCGGCCCAGCAAGACCGCAAATGAATCCTCCATCTGTGACAGCCCCAGACAGCCGTCCCCCTGCGAGACCAGCGGCAAGACCGTGCTGGCAAACTCCCGTAGTTGATCGAGGAAGGCCGCGCCCGCCGAATTCCCCAGGTACCTTCTGTGCCCGTCCGGATCGGCGAGTAGACGGCCCCCATCGAGGACTTCCTCCGAGTCGGAAGCAGTGAAATTCTTCAGAGGAGTCGCGCTGCCACTGCCACTGCTGCTGCCAGTCTGAGCTGGAGGACAGTCCTCGTGTGCACTAACACTTGCACTCGCACTCGCACTCCGGGCCCGTCTCATCAGCTCCAATCGGTCTTTCTCGGAGGGGATCGCCGCGCTGAGACACTTTTGCAGGAATTGTTCGTTGGCCTGCAGGTCCTCGTAGGTGGCTCTGGATATGGTGATCCGTTCCTCCGCCGGGGAAGGATACTCGCACGGACCGGCCGGCCGAACGGCATTGTCGGCAGGGTCGATCCCCAGTGCATTTGATGCGGCGGATGTTGCAGCCATTGCATCTGTTTTAGCGTTAGAAAAGCAGGAATAAAAAAGAAATAAAAAGCAGATTGTTAACAAAGAAAGACAGAAAATAAGGGGAAAACTCCGATGCAGCCGATTATCTACATACGCTCTGGAGACTCGTTTCCGTTGCTCTGGCGGCACCTTCGACCGTCTTCTGTTCGGGGGAAGGCGCTCCATCACGTCCGTCCTTTTCCTTTACATAATGCCAGAATCTCCCCTGAGTGCTGGCCGATGAGCGTGCAGCAAAGACAGACCTGTCGAGTAGGACTTCGGTATGTAATGTACAATGACGTCGACGGGAATCCGGGGTAAAAATCAACTACGATCCGGCTAAGTCAATTGGTTGGAGCCGAGGTGGAGTGCCACGTCTCGCAGCCTCGACCATGTCGAAGTCTTTACAAGCAGCACATCAACTTAGCTTCAGGATAATGAACCATGTAGAGTAACGTAGCTTCTGGTAAAATTTAATACCGCGTCTATTGGTCAGCCTTACATGTACGAATACATTGCGTTGCTTTACAATCCAAAAAGGCGCCTTTACTAGTGACTAAGCATGTCACTAGTCACGTGATCGAGACACCCGACCGTTATAGTCACGTGGTATTCCCCAACGTCTCGTAGATAGCTTCAAGTACGTACGTTTGCAGTTGAACTCTCTTCTCAAAATAGTGCCGAAGGATTAGTGGTTTATTACGTTATTCTCTAGCCGGCTTCCTTTTTGTATTTTTAATTATGCACATTAAAAGGCCATCGTAGATTCCATCTAGAATCTATTATTCTAACATTGGACACATATAAGTCAGACTCCTACCTATCTACACACATATAACTACAGCATGCATCTCCCGCCCACCTGCATCTAGTGCAGCCGTCTAGATAGAGTGCTGCGTGATCTGGAACGAGTACGACGGCTTCAGGTCGTTCTGCACCGGGTACAGGTCGCCGCCCTCAAAGCTCATGTCCCGGACGTAGTACTCAAAGTTCAGGCTCTGCTTGCTGATGTCCAGCGTGACAAAGCCGTTGGCCGCCGCCTGGGCATTCGCCGCCAAGTACTGGGCATACGGTCCCAGCGGGACGCCGTTGTTGCAGTCGCCGGCCTGCGGGTAGCCAGCCGCGCCCGAGAGCACAAAGTGCGTGTTGTTGCCATAGTAGTGCGCCAGGCAGTGGTCGTGTCCGTTCAGGACGATGCCCTTGTGCTGCTCGACGATGGAGATCAGCGGCCACAGCTCGCTGTAGTTGCCCGACGAGGACAGGTACGGGTGGTGCAGCTGCAGGAACTTCCAGTCGGCCTTGGACTGGCTGAAGGTCTGCTGCAGGAAGTCGACCTGCACCTGGGTGGTCTTGTGGCAGGCCGCCGTGTACTCGTTCTGGTAGACCGACGTGCTCTCCTGGTACGCCTCAATGAAGCAGTCCGAGTCCACGACGACGAAGGTGGCCGTCCAGTCCTTGCCGGTCAGGTCGTACGTGTAGTACGGCAGCTTCTCCGTGCCAAAGTACCAGCGGTCGTCGATCAGCGGCGCAATCTTGGTCTCGAAGTCCACGCCGCTCTGTCCCTTGACGACATCGTGGTTGCCCAGGCATTGGTACCAGGGAGCGTTCTCGAACACGCCCTGGCTGTACATGTTCACCCACGCTTCCTGGAAGCGCAGGATGCCGCCGGTGGTGAAGTCGACGCCGCTGTCGTAGAAGTTGTCGCCAACAGAAATCTATACTATCAGTCAGATCAGGTCACGAACCGGAAGAGGAGAGGGTCCTACAAAAGCGGAGCAATTCTTCTGGGCGCAAACCTCCCCAATGTAGCTGGCCGTATTCTCTGAAGCCAGGTTAGCGACGGGATCATAGACAGATACGATTGATAGAACACACCTTGAAGGGCCGTCGCATTGGTGATGTACGTGCGGTCGCCGGGGTCACAGTCGTTCTGGACCTCACGAGGGATGGTCACATTGGCCTTCTGCAACTGCGGCAGCACATCGTTACAGAAGGAGACAGGGAGAGGCGTCCAGCCTGTCCAGCCGTAGTCTAGGGAACAGTCAGTTCGATCACAATTGAAAACACACAGATCATCGTTCAAAATTGACGAATTGGCTACCGACCTCCAACGATACCGACGGTGAGCACCTCAGCTCCTTTGGGGGCCTCAACGGCCTCGGTGGAGGACAGGAGGCCCGCCACAGAGGCCAGAGTCAAAAGGTTCTTGAAGGAGGAAGACATGATGAAGACGGCAACGATCAGTTCAAACAGACCCTTCGTTGCGTGCTTGAGCGACTGAGGCGTTCATCAGGCCGACCATTGTGTCTTCAGGCCGTTATGTATCTTCTTTGGAGAGCCCTCGTTCCGCGCCATCGGATTGACCGTTGAAGCGAAATCCCTGCTCAGTCCCCGCCGATCGAGCAGCGCGACTCGCTGGGCAGTGGCTGACGGAGAAGAAGGCACGTGCATCGCTGTTCGTCTGGCTGCCATCTGCTATCTTGTCATGTTGTCACTCATCGAAGTTTTCGACAGGAATCTTCAGCGCACTGACCGCGCGCACGCGACAACAAGGTTGGGCGGCAGAACCGGCCACCAATGGTGGCTATCGGTCTTGGCACGTGGCCAAGCTTTCCGTACCCGCATCGGAACCCCAGAAGCTTGTTTCCGTCGGAATTGTTCCCGATTACAATTCTCCGTTGCGTGATTGGCAGGAGCCAGGTGTCATTCATTAATTCTGCAAGGGGAAGCTTCTATCTGTCGTCAGTGTGGGGTGACATAATATTAATTATTAACTTTAATATTACTGTTGACTACAGAGAATTAAGTAATTTGTTGATCTAGGAACCTTTGTGATAGGCAGAAGTCATACAGATTCCTTCTGGAAATGAGACAACGCTCGGGCCCCTGGAACTAGAGCGGTGCTTGACATGGATTATGAGAGCAAACTATAACCAGTCCAACGGCATCAAACTGGCGCGAATCCATTCTTAGTATTTATTTTCTGTCTGTTAAGGAGTTTTGTGTTTTCCCCCGACGTAGGACAGTCCGCTCTGTCTAGGACTTCTGAAAATAAAATAGCACAGGACAGCTAGGAGGAATATATCTCCACTCATACAGAGCACTACCTAATTAGAATTAGGTATTTGTAGGCCACAGAATTCAGGCAGAGATGCCATAGTCGGCGCTCAGACACATTCTCCACTTCACCCGCCGTAGAGAAACGTCCTTTTGTGGACACATATCGAGAAGAATTTTTCTGTTAATAGTTGGTCCATCAATAATGGAAGGCACGGGACGGCCAGGGGTGGTTAGTCAGCCTGTTCTCCCGTCGTCGTGCACGTGCAACTCCGAGAGGGCAGTCTGACTGGCTGCTCACCGTCCAGAGGATGGATTCTCATCCCGATTTCCATCACCTGGCGCCATCGAAGATGTTGGATCCGACATTACCGTGCCGTTCAACAGGATCCGCCTTGTTCGTTTATTCTCGGAGGAGTTTCGCAACTGCCTGGAAAAAGAGGCGATCAGAGAGCAATACAGCACTGGAATCTACGACAACCGTGTAACACGGATGCTTCAAGACTTCGAATATGACCACTTTAGTTGGCTGTTGTCCACGATCTGATGCCTCCTTTGCCTGCACCAACGTCGCCTGTGATCATTGGAGAAGCAAAATGGGCAGAAGCTGAGGTCGGAACAGATCAGATATGAAAGAGACCCAGCAATTTGCCTCGTTACCATGATTATTATCTCGAAACAAGTGACGGAGTGCTATTCGTCTTTATAAGATCGAGGTAGGGCTGCAGTCTATGGGAAAAAAAAAAAGTCGCTGCAAGGAAATACTCTATATGCAATGTCTATACGCGGTGTTCTACTTCCTATAAAATGCGTCGTTCGACTTCAGCTTCCTGAAATCTGTCTGGGTATAACTGATCAGTATGCGACCAGGTTTTCGATTTCTTCTCTTCGTGTTCAACTAGTCGAGCATTGATGCAGTTCCATTGGAAGGTTAGGATCATTGCAGTTCTAATAAAGAGAAGATCCACTCAGAGCAACCTCAACGGCCGCGCCAGCACGCTCAGCCCGCCCAGAAAGGCTGTGATGCCTGTGAAGACAATCAGCGTGCCATAGCCGCTGCCGTACGCCCCGCCAGCGGCATCTCGCCAGGGAAAGCCTTGCAAGAGCTTCTCACTCAGTGGTCCACTAACCACGTTGCCGATGCCTCTCCCTGCGGCTAGGAAGGCAAACACAATCGTAGGTTCAGCCGAGTTCGCGTTCTTCTGGACCTCTTTCATGATGGCAGGCCAGGTGGCCGAGAATGGTCCTGCAAAGATGCCATAGGCAATGCAGAAAATGAACAGGGGTGCCAGTGTGAGAGAGAAGCCCCAGAGCAGGAAGATGGCAACAGTGCTGCCGACAGTAGAGATGAAGATGCAGGTCGTCACATGACAGCGATCAACCAGCATTCCCATGATGATGCATCCAAAGACAGAGGCGAGGTTGACGAGGATAACGGTAAGTGAGGCGACGAGGTTACTGGCTCCAAGTGTGTGACTCGCGTATGTTGGGAGATAGATGGAAGGGAGGAAGAAGCCCAGGGCTTCGAGGACATTGCCAAGCTGGAAAATGAGGAAGGTCCGATTCCAGAGGAAGCTGAAGTCAAACGGCCGCATACTGGCCGACTGCGCGATAGGCAGCCGGGGCTTAACGAAGTATAGGAGAGGAGCTGTCAGGATGAACAGCACGACAGACCACACTCTCAGGGTCGTCCGAAAGCCGTGGGCGTTGAGGAGCCACTGGAGGAAGACAGGCAGGACGACGCCTGACACGCCGGTGCCAGCCTACACACGTTAGTCGTTAGTATGTCTGTATGTCAGAATGATACGGTCTTCGTTCTTTCTTTCTCTTTCTCTTCTCTCTCTCTCTCTTTTCTTTTTTTTGTTCGATAATCATTGTTGATCCACTAGCTGGTGACTGACGTACCCACATAATCCCAAACGCCAGCCCCCTCTTATTGACGAACCACTCCTCCATGAAGAGGATGGTGGGTGCATACGTCAGACTCGCCCCGACGCCATACCCAATACCCTGCATGAGCAAGAGATGGGTAGTATTGGTCGCGAATGAGCTGAGCGCGATGGCAACACACATGATTAGGAAGCCAAGGGGGTGGCGAACCGCTTCAGTCGGGGACGGCCAGCAGTAGGCCAAAGACGAAGGGGGATAGAATGTAGATGATTTCCTGCATGCGTCAGAAATATACAGAATGAAGACAGGGAAGGGTACGTAGGACAAACCATCGCGCAGGTCCCACTGGCAGCAATGTTGCCCGACTGCTTGAACGGCTCGTGCGTGCTGTAGTAATCTTGGAAAATGCCGAAGGCGAATGCGAAGCCTATATACGTATATCAATTAGCAGAAAAAGTCATAATAAAAATAATGAATAATAATTGCAAAGAACTATTTGTGTTGTTGTGTCGTACCCCACACCAACGCCTCGATCATAAAACAGGCCGCCAGGAACAGCCAGGCATCTCTGCCGCCATCGCGGGGGGGTAGTTGAGGTTGTTGATTGTTGGTATTGGTGTTGGCATTGTCGTTATGATTACGAGTATAATCATGATTATGATTGTATTCTTCCACCGCATCATCTAGGTGTCGTTGTCCAGACGCTGTCATATGCGAGCCATCATGATGAGCGGTGTGGATGGACGAGGAATTCGAATGGCGGTGTTCGAACTCCATCTCAACACGTCGAGCAACAACACGACTGCTCTATGATTCAGCGGGATGTGCTTTCAATTGACCAGGAAAATAATTAATGTAACAGCTACAAATTCGTTAAATACAGAAATTTTCCGGTTACGAATTTACGGGAAAAGTCTATTTATTTAAAATATGATAAAATCTAAATGTGGGTTTATTATATTCCTTAACTAGAAATATTCAGATATCATCGCCGTTTGTTCGTTTTTCTGGTCGAAATCAATTCTTTTGAACCTACCGTTGACAGCTTCTAAGGGCCATTCTCTAGCGTAGCTACAAACTGGTCAACTAAAAAGACATATATTATAGCTGTAGTAGTAAATTGGTTTCTATCCATTATTATAACGCTAGTGTAACTACTGTGTACTTAAGGAATAGAAGTATTATACGGGAATAAACATGGCTTAGCCACTATATCTCCTCTATGTCATTACTACGATGGTTAACAGATTCTACTGAGACAGGGTAAACAATCCTTTCCATATTAATAGATCTGAAGCTAACAAGAGATTAAAAACAAGAATACGTCCTTCATGTTTTCTGTCTGTCCACTCATAATCACCCCCGTGGTGAACATCTTTGCTGTTCTGTAGCTGAATATGGCCTCAGGCTTCATGTCAAGCCTCTATGAGGTACGTGACACTAATGGTTCAACAGAATCTGGTCCAATGCCCTCTGCACTGTAGCACACTGGGTCTCGATGTTATACGAGCCAGCACTTGGCTTTCAGCGAGATATATTCTGCGAGTTGTCATTCCACTGGTAGAACCGGACCAATCTACCAATGGCAATGGCACCGTAAACTCGTCTGTCTTGCTAAGCTTGTCCGCCCCCTTGGATCCCCCTCAGGTAATCCCGAAGCTGGTTTCGGCCTCTCCTCCACATCCATTCCTGGTTCTCGTATGTCGGCCTCTTGCATTGTACAAGAAGGAAGTGCATGTAGCCGTGTGCTGCAGTATGGTGATAAACGTTCAGGTCCGCGTATCTGGTGTTGATCTGATCCTCGGGCCTGATCACGTAGCCCGCTCCCGGTGGGAACTGACGGCTCAAGATGCCGGTCAATATCCCAGAAACGGCGCTCTCGGGGGAGGAGTTGTTGAGATTTCGGATCTCCTGTCCGATCGCATATGTACCATAGTACTGTTCTGTATTAGTATAGGTACCTGGGCACTCAAAATCATTGAACGACACGTACGGTATTCAAATGTCTCGGTGGGATTCCTGGAGGATTGGCCGGCGAACCCATTCCCGGAGCCACGGGTAAAGCTTGGGATTCATTTTGATAACGGAGGAGGTTCTTTTGACTCGATCTTGTAGACCTTGTTTCTGTTCAAGAGCACAGAGATTGCGATCTTGTTCTTGTCTCAGAGGCCAGGGGAGTGAGGTGGCATGAAGATGCTTGATTTCTCTGTCTGTTACAGAGGTAGAGAGGAGCCTTATATGTCTGTGGGTCGCGGGGCAGGCCAGGCAGCCTACCTAGCCTCAGGCAGTGACTGCCAACATAGTATCTTACTACTCGATTAAATAAATGGAAGTTTCCGTAATCGAGTGAATTGATACAGGTGTTGTTGTGCACTAAATGTGACTCAAAAATTCACTCTCTTCATGCTATTATATTAACTATACATCTTATTCCCTATCAGTAGTGGTAAATGAAGTGACAAAGTCCAAAATATATCACCAGAGAACCCCAATATATACTTTCCGTGGCAGCACTGAGTATATCTCTTACTTCTTCACTTGCTAGGATTCGAAAATCCTGTATTCACTATCATAATAGCCGTATATCTTATCCCTGTTTACGAGTATTCTTCTGCTACGATTCACTGATCTGATGTATTCACTTGTTATCCAGAATTCTACAATAACATAACAAGTGAATATCTGGGGATCTTTTTACAGTGACAACTGCAATACTAACATTCATCTCATATCTGCTATCTGTCAACTCTTAGCATTGTGGCGCTGATAATTTATAAAATATATGGTGCATGTATGGTTTGGTCAGGAGGGAATCGTCATCCAAGGATGGCATTTCAGATACTTGCGATACAAGATTCGCCAGCAGCTGGGCACAGCACCATGCATTTACTTTTATGTACTCCAAGCGACCAAATCTTATAAGTTCCAGGAGCTCGACCAAAACATTATTTCTACATTGTGTATTCCTGTAGACGCATGTTGCAAAGCGTTTTATTTATTTTATATAAGGTGCCTACCAAACTAGCAAATCCTTAGGGCATAACAAAGAGGCTACTATGAACCAATGGAATGAGAAACGTAGCCTCAAAGACTAATCATCCTAGGTGGGTGACTGTCGCGCGAGCTCAAGGCGGCGTTGCTTAGCTACTAGAACCGGAAGGGTGGGTAGGTTTTTGCTCAGTGGATGTTTCTACTATCAATCCTTGCCCTAAGATACTCTTATTAATAATTATTATATAGTATATAATCTCTAACTAGAGTAGATATAATGAATTATTCTATCTAGTTTAGACCACTACTAAAAAGGCAGTTAGTTATAGCGAATATCTCGATCTTGTCTTGACCGATCACAATAAATGATAAAGCTTTAATTTTGTCTTAGTGATTGGAGCTGATATATAGACGTTATTAGTAATGATATATTATAATATCGTAGGACTAACTCTAGAGACCTTTCCATCTTGGGACTATCCATTTGTTTCTATCCTGCAAGGAATATTTTTTTTACTAAAAAAGTCTTTCCCTGAAAACAAAACAAAAAAAAAGCAAGAAAAGGAAAGAATCCAAATAGTTGACCATTTCTGTTTATTTCTTGCGTAAGTCAAACTGCCGGCCCATCCGAATTAGGGTTTGCAGCTCTTATGTCAGATATACGCATGCAGATGACAAACGCAGATATTTAACTCTGACGCTGCCGTCAATGCGCTGAATTTAGCACCCTTTTATTATCATTATTATCTAGATATATCGATCGATCATCGCCATGACCAGAAGAGCACCAACCCTGGCGTCCATGCTGGTCAGCCCAGCACTGGTCCTGAATAATTCCTCCGCTCTGTCTCTGTGCCGGAATCAAAATCAGGTTCTGAGACAACCTTTCTCGTCTACAAATGCCCACTCCAACCGCGAAGTCTTTCCAAAGACAGGAACGAGAAGGATCAAAGAGACTCCGCCAGCGTGGCCGCATCCGATGTATGTCAAACCCTGACCGTGAACCTACCTGAATGAAAGAACACCACTGACGACAGCATCTACTCTGTAGATACACCGAAGACCAGCTAAACCGCGTCATGGTCGCGCACCACGAAACGCGCAACCTGGGCGATAAGGTCGCGCTCAATACCATCCGCGTGCTCCGGTTCTGTCTGGACCGCGCCACGGGGTACAAGCACGACGACGCCGTCGCGCTGCATCAGAAGGACCCCGCAAAAGCTAAGCAGAAGTACGCCATGACCGAGGACAAGTATCTGACGCGGAACATCTTCCTGGAAAGCATCGCGGGCGTGCCGGGGATGGTGGGCGGCATGTTGCGGCATCTCCGGAGTCTGCGGCAGTTGAAGCGCGATGGAGGGTGGTAAGCAGCAGCGACATCGTCTCAAAATGAGATTAGTTCACTGACTGCCCAGGATGGAAACACTACTTGAAGAATCGTACAACGAGCGCATGCACCTGCTCACCTTCCTCAAGCTGGGCGAGCCAGGTTGGCTGATGCACCTGATGGTGCTGCTAGCGCAGGGAGTGTTCTTCAACGCCTTCTTTCTGGCGTACCTGATGTCGCCGCGCATCTGCCACCGGTTCGTCGGGTATCTGGAGGAAGAAGCCATCATCACATATACGCGCGAGATCGCCGACTTGGACGCGGGCCGGCTGCCGGGGTGGGAGAATCTGGATGCGCCGCAGATTGCGGTGCAGTACTGGCAGATGCCCGAGGGCCACCGGAAGATGCGCGATCTGCTGCTGTACGTGCGGGCGGACGAGGCAAAGCACCGCGAGGTGAACCACACGTTTGGAAATTTGGACTGGAAGCATGATCCCAATCCGTACACGAGTGTGTACAGGGATCCGGAGAGGCCGCATCCGAAGCAGGGAATTGAGAATCTGCAGCAGAAGGGGTGGGAGAGGGAGGACGTAATCTAGGCCTGGAAGAGTAGAAATATCTATATAACTGAGGCAGCGTAGAGATGAGAAATGCATTAATATATAAATATAATCAATCAATGAATCGTACAATAGTCCAATCATTGATAGTAGTATACGATTGCAGTAGAACATGATAATATCCAGACAGACATCTAATTCCTATCTACGAGTAATTTACCTATTTAAAGCTCTCCATCTGAAGGATCATCTCGTCGCAAAGAAGAAGGGCGAAAAAAAAAATAGGCTAATGCTCATACGATTTTACTAAATTAGGGGAAAAAATCACATTCACGTGCACATTTCTTTAAAAGAAAAATAAAAAGAAAGTAAATGGAGAGAAAAGGGGAAACAGTGAAAAAAAACAATAATTTCCGTTATACAATAAAGAGTAAAGATAAATAAAGAGCTTCATACTCGAACTTGAAAATTCTAAAGAGACTAGAGCCAAGAGTGAGAGTACTATTTTGCAATGCAATACAATGCACATACGTATCTAGGTATGGACCTTCTATATTTTAATAGTAGGCTAGGCTTATCTTTTCGTTCAGTTCCTCTTTTTCGCATCTTACATATTCCTACCCTTGTTTCTTTCCTCCTCCTTGGTATAGTATACTCGTATAATTAATGTAATATCTAAGATTTTATTCCTCATCAGTCGTATATCCTTGTGCTATTCAAAAGGAAAGGAAAGGGAAAACCTTCCATGGTCTTGTACACACATACATATCTAGACACATGTCTATACCGTACAGTACCTACAGTACTGTACATACATGGATATCTCCTTATTCCCTCCTTCTCACCATCCTCAAAAACGGCTTAAACGGCTTAAACAACCTTACCGAATACGCCAGCAGCAGCCGAGCGCATCCTTTATCGTAGTTATAGTTATTAGGATCTTGCAGATCCTCTCCCTTGGCATTATTATTGCTCAATACTGCGAGATTTTCTTTTTCTTTTTCGTTCAATTCTTCAGTAGCAGTTTCCTTCTTCTCCTCCTGTTGCAGCGCTTTCTCGCATTCTTTCAGCACGTCGAAACTAGATTTTTCAAACGGATCAATCAGTCTAACGCCGGAATTACATCCGTAAGGGGAAAGAAATAGAAGTGCAAACCTGTACGCATGCTCCGTCCGCTCAGCGAATGTGGTGGGCACGCCTGCTAGACCGTAAGTCAGTCTGCGCCTAGAACTACTCACATGCACGATGACACCGTACTCTCTCCATCCGCAACAAACTCGCGCAACTTATCCGTCACGGTGCCTTCCCGCCCGATCCGCGCAGAGGACAGGATCTGTATAATGGCCGTCCGGCGCCGGCGGATATCCTCGAACAGCTGCAGTCGATGCGGGATCTCTGCTGCGTCGTCGACGCCCCTGAGCAGCTGTCCCAGAGCGGCTCCGTCTTCGATGGCTTGGTTGGCGGCTTGGGCGCCGAAGGGGAGCATCTGTGGGTGTTAGAAGATCACGAAAAGAGCAGGATGAGATATGACACACCGGATGGGCTGCATCGCCGACCAGGACGATATCCTTGCGCGTCCACCGTGGAAAAGGCTCGTAGCGGGCCAGTTTCCAGCATTTGACGTCCTCGGCCAGTCTGGGAGAGTCATTAGAATCAACAGAGAATTAAACAGAGAATTAATACAGGCAGAGGGTTTGTTCCTACTCGAGTAGTTTGACCACGTCAGGGTTAAAGTATCGGAACTCGTCGAGGAGAGAGGCTTTGAAATCTAGGTTGATCAGCATAATCAACACATAGCAGACTCTTGCTAGCATACCTGTCTCAGCCGCATTGGGCCTTGTCGGATGGATGCCAACGACATTCTGGACGTCTCCTCTACGGCAGTCAGACGACAATCAGTTTGATATCAGTCACCGACGGGAGAGTGAAGAGACTACCCCTGGCACGGATACCAGACCAGATGGCGCTCGTGCGCCTTGTCCAGCGTGTCCGCAAAGATAGTTGCTCCGGGGGATTTCCACTGCAGCAGCTTCTCGAGAGCCGGATCGCCCTGCAGCCTGCTCGTTGGGATCAGGAAGCGAAACGCGCTCATGTCCGTCTCTGCTGCCAGGTCCGCTTCTTCTCCCACGACAGCCCGCCTGACGACCGAATGCACGCCGTCGGCGCCGATGATCAAGTCTGCGCGATGCGTAGAGCCGTCGCTCAGTAACAGCCTGCCCTCGTCGTCGATGCCCTCGGCCGCCGTGGCCAGCACCAGCTCCGCCGGATTGTCGTCGCCCTCCAGCGCCAGCCGCCGCAGCTCGCTGTGCAGGTCGACGCGGTGGATGGCCATCATGGGCGCGCCGTATTTCGCTTCTGCATTGCTCAGGTCCAGCGCCGTCAGCGGGCTCAGGCTGATGCCGTCGACCGACTCCCACGACGGTAGCACGCAGGCCCTTGCGCGGTCGAACGAGAAGCCCAGAGCCGCCAGCACGAGCGCGCCGTTGGGCGAGATGGCGACGGCGGCGCCGATCTCGGACGCAAAGCGCGATTTCTCGAAAATCTGGCTCGTCAGAACGATCCTGAAGTTGTGATGGAGAGATCAACGCACCCGCACCGAATGCCCCGCGCGGCGCAGGGCGATGGCCGCGCAGAGCCCGCCGATGCCTGCGCCGACGATGATCACGTCCAGCGGCATGGAGACTGTTTGCTGAATATTGTCTTTGCCATTGATATTAATTCCTGCATGTTGTGTCGTTATTATGCAGCCTGTTGGCAGCTCGGTGTTGGTGCCGCCGGCGACTTGTTTTCGGCGATAAATCAGCTCGGAGACTTCACAACATCCCACTTCAGCAGATTCATTCACTCAGCATAGAAAGCCTCCCACACCATCTGCTGCCTTCTAGCAAGACAACTGCCTACGCTATCAAACCTTCTTCTACTAGTTCTCTCTGACTAGCTGTCTAGTGAGCTATGGCGACCCCCCTCGAGCAGCTCGCCGCCTCCATCTCCGCCGACGTCGCCACCGTCACTCAGCTGCTGCAGGCCCGCGGCGAGCCTGCTCCCAGCTTCGACGAGACCAGCGCCGTGACGATTGGCAAGACGACGGCCAAGCCAGACACGGCGCTCCTCGAAGCCCGCAACCGGCTCATCAACGCCGCGCACGATCTGCTGCGGCTGGCCCAGGGGCCGGTCGACCATATCGTGACGCTGGCATACGGGGTACGTGAGTCCCGGTGAATGATGTGACGATTGCAAGCTGACTCTCCAGGCCACCGATACGGCCAACCTGGCCACCGTCGTCCGCTTCGAGATCCCGCAAAAGGTGCCCTTTGGCTCGACCATCTCGCTGCCCGAGCTGGCAGCCGCGACGGGCCTGGACGAGGACGTGCTCGCGCGTACAGTGCGGTATGCCATCACGAACGGCGTCTTCTGCGAGCCCGAGCAAGGACGCATCGCACACACGGCCGCGTCCGCGACGCTGGCCAGGAACAAGAACCTGCACGACATGACCGTCTTCAACAGCGGCTTCAGCACGCGCATCGTCGTCAGCCTGGCCGATGCTCTCAAAGCGCAGCAGGAGAAGCAGCCCGACGCTCCAGAGGCGGCCTTCAATCTGTCGTATCCGGGCTATGTCAACCTGTTCGACTACATGGGCAAGCACCCGGACGCCAGCCAGGGCTACTTCAACTACCTGGACGGGCGGTCCCAGCTGCCGCGGTACCAGGTGGGCAATGTGGTCCAGTCGTGGGACTGGACATCGCTAGGATCGGGGACGATTGTAGATGTACGTACATACCATATCACCAGAGTCCATATCAAACGAACGTTCTCTAACTGTCTTCTCTTCTAGGTCGGCGGCTCCTCCGGCCACACAAGCATCGCACTCGCACGCAACTTCCCACAACTGCACTTCGTCGTCGAGGACATCAACAAGGAAGGCCTCGAGATGGGCCGGCGGATCATCGCGCAAGACGCCGACCTGCAGCAGCGCATCACCTTCCGGGAGCACGACTTCTTCCACCCTCAGCCCGTGCAGGCCGACGTGTACTTCTTCCGGCACGTGCTGCACGACTGGTCCGATGCCGACTGCATCCGCATCATCCAGGCGCTGGTGCCTGCGCTCAAGGACGGCGCGCGCGTCCTGGTCTCAGAGGGCGTCATGCCCGAGCCTCCCGCGACGAGGAGTGCCCTGTTGGAGGACAAGCAGGTGCGCATCGACGACCATGTCATGCTCGCCGCGCACGTCGCGCGCGAGCGCAGCGTCGAGCAGTATACCAGGCTCTTCCAGGCTGCCCACCCTGGGTTCGAGCTGGTGGGCGTGTCGGGCAATGCGGTGGGAGTGCACCACTCGCTTGTCGAGTACAAGTTTACAAGAAGAGAGTAGAGAGGATTTTAGTTACAGGACATGTAAATAATAAATAAAAGGTACAAACAGGTACAAAGTGGGGTTGTTACATACTGGGATACTAGGATGTGAGGACATTAAGATATTGGGATCTAGAAATACATACATTGAAAAGCAGAGAAAATAGAAAAAAAAGAACTACTGCATTTTCAATTTATCGAAAATATACATAGAGAACACATCCGCAAACTCAACAGTAGATATCATTAAAAAAAAAGAATAGTAGAGTACGCATGCAGCTAATTGATAAGTTATCTCTTTTCTTTAAAAAAAGAATTAATCCCCCCTATTGTAAAGGAAATAACACCTTTTGGCGACAATGTTGCTTAGTAAGGCATTTCCGTACATGTGATTGGTCAAAATCGCTTTTCTGTACTTTTTACGTAAGTATCCATCTTCTCTTACAACCCCCTACAACCATAGGGCCCTGGCTGCCTACCTTAATTATAGGCTTTACAATGCCCCTAGGCCCCCTACAAGTGTTATATTAGCACCCCTATAAGGCTTCACGCTGGCATCCCTAGAGGCTTCATGCTGGCACTATTGTGGGCTTCACAGGGCTTCCCTATAGGCTTTATACTGGCACCCTAGAGGCCTTATATAGGCTTACATTACAGGTATGCGGAGGGCCGAAGGTCCGGAGCATTTAGGTATGAGCATTAGCTTATATAGGCTTTCTAATGCCTCTCTTATAGGCTTCCCTAGAGGCTTTATATTAGCTTATAGGCTTCCTTATAGGCATTAGTAAGCCTAGGTGTTCTTCCCCTTCAGGCCTAGACGAGCGGAGCGAGTCGTTAAAGGCTTGTTTTTTTTTTTAAAAAGCAAAAGGACAATGACAAAACCATTCGAATTTCCAAACAGACATCACTATCTCCTTCCTAGTATCTGAAATCAATTTTCTTCTTTTTATTTATTTTTATTTATTTATTTATGACATCCTCTCATACCATGAAGGGATCAGCCGTGTAAATTGTTTACCGTACCGGCCCGGAGAGTAATATTTAGTCACTGGTCGGGCAGTCGTCGGTCGACTCGATCGGCTAAACATTTAGGCGCGGGTCTGCGTGCCGCCCGAGAAAAAAAGAACATCTTCGTACGAATGTACATACAGTCTGTACAGTATGTAGAGCACATATTTTGTGGATACTGAATTCTGTTCTGTATTTTGTACATCCACCAAGAGATATAAATTTTTCGATTTGTTTTACGTTCTCCCGCCCGACTCGTTGATAAGCGGATTGTCGTCCAAATAAGCTATTTCCATTCCACCCGACCGTAGATCGCTATGTACACACTAATGTACTCCGTACAGGGATTCGGATCGACAGCGCTAGCCCTGACCTAGTCATCTCTAGTCATCTCTAGTCATCTCTAGTCATCTCGAGTCATCCTGTCATCCTGATTGCAGGCTGACCCCTACACACCGCCGCGCGCTCCCCCGCAGTCGTCGCACCCTCTGTTCCAACCACCGCAGCGTCCCTTGTACCTGTCGAGCCTGTCGCGCGCTGTCGTTGTCGCCTTCGCCGTCACCCTCGACCTCGCTTTCTTCGCTCTCGCTGTCCTCCCATGGCTGGGACAATTGCCAGTCCCCGCCCTCGGCCCGTTCCGCTTCCCGCTCCCGCTCCCGCTCCCGTACCCGTTCCCGCTCCTGCTCGCTATCGTCCCCACAACGCCGGCCACGTGCACTGACGCTGCCCGTGTCGAGACGCTCTGCCTGCATGCGAAACTGCCGCAGCACAGCGTCGACCTGGTTGCTCGCCCGGAAGAGCAGCATCGCCGAGAGCATGCGCGCTTCCGCAGGCCCTGCCGCGTAGGTTCCCAGACGTGCGCGCACGGGATGCTCCATCTCGTCACCGTCATCATCATCGCATCGCGCATTCAAGGCGTTGGGGATGCGGTTGCTCGACGTCAACAGGCTCTGCACTTGGGTCTGCAGCACCTGCACCACCAGTCTCGCGTTCATGGCCGCCAGCGTGAGGCTCTCGAGGACGTCCGTGCTACGCCGCCACCCGGGCCAGCACGTCCGGCACCGGAGAAACGTGCGCCAGGTCGCCAGCGCCCGCGATGTGCCCAGCAGGGCTGCATCGACCCGGGGCACCGCGCGATGGGTCGACAGACCCTTGAGGTACACTAGAAGACCAGCTTGATCCGCAAGGCATTTGCAGGGCCGGGTGGCTAATCCTGTCGGTTCGGAGTGCGAAAACGACAACTTCATCGCGGACGGAGGGGGAGAAGGGAGGGGGACATCCGAGGTGTGATGGGGTACTGGCGTGTTTGCGCTGGGGTCTATGGTCAGGTCGACATGGCCCGGTGAGGATGGGAGACTGCTCTCCTCAGAAGGCGCGCTGACGCCACTGTCGTGACCGGGATGGGAGATGGTTTGCGTTGGAGAGGATGTGCTGCTGCTGGGATCGATGCCAGCCATCACAGGTGAGTCTGGTGAGGTCGATTGCAGAGCGGCACTCGGATTCAGGATGTCGATGTCGTCCATTGCATTCGTCCCGGCGTCGAAGCTCGACAGTGGCAGGAGAAAGTCGTCGGTTGCCATCCCGTCGAGCGACATACTGCTGAAATCGCCCAGCGAGGGGAGGCAGTCGTCGTGCATCGTCTCGACCGCCCAGTCCAAGCATGCCTCGGCCGTCCGCTGCTTTTCCACGATTGCTGAGCTCGCCTGTGCTTCCTGACACCTCCGGATGCGCTCGAGAGTCTTTTTGTTTCTCGTGTTCTTGGGCCGCCCAATGCGGTTCGAGGCGCTGTAGACACAATCAAAGCCCATCTTCCGGCACTTCTCGCAGGGACGGCCCCCGGAGCATTTGACCTTGGTGTGATGGCAGCTGTCGCACGCCGAGCGGAGCTTCCTGGAGCTGCTAGAAGAAGCCCCTCGCTCGGCCGGATTGGATACAGCTGCGGCGACCATGATTCTGTCCGCAATGCTCGGCAGATCAATGTCAAGAGACGAGGAGGAGTCCGGAGCGCTGGGCCAGCATGGGCCATTTCGTTAATAACAGCTCTGTCGCCATCCTCCGTAATAGCTGCTGACGCCTGACTGTCTCCGCATGTGAATGCGCGCGCTAAGCCATCGGCACCGCAACCCAACAGTGGGCAAGATAGCAGCAAGCTCGACACCCAGACCAACACGGCAATTCGATTGATGATCCCCAGGCGCAATAATGGACATGCATGTCGGCACCAGAGCGATGGCGCTGGCCCCAGCAGGATCGAGGTCAGGATCGAGGACAGGATTGAGCACGTTCAGCATGCATGTGCATTAGCGCCGGCACTAAGAGTCGCATGTCGCGTCTTGGCAGCGCCCTAGTCGCCCGCCGTGCCATCACGACCTGATATACCGAAGGTTATCATGCAGGAACTGTTTTGGCCCCCAATGGGACCTTCTGTGCACGCTAGGTATGTGCGTGGTCGAGTAGCCGTCGGGACTCCGCCGTGCTGCTTGTGCTCAGGCGGGGGATCGGCGCCGCCCTAATCTGATAGGGCTATCGTGCTCTCGTCCCTGCATGTGGCATGCAATCCTTCTCGCCAAGAACATCCGTGTCAAGACGACAAAATGAGGGGCAACATGGCTCGTGCTGGCTTATTGACGGCGGGCGATCGGATCCAGGGCGAAAACAAGCCTCCAGGTAGCAAGGACACTGCCGACTACGCTGCAGGATCAGTTCAAGTGCCGATGGCGCTGACTGGGTCTCAGGCCGTCATCCCATAAATGGGATTTTGGATAACTTTGATATGCATGCATGATGTTGAACGAAGGGGCCAAATGGCGACCTGTTCGTCGGCGTCAATGCTCTCAGCGCGGGGCCTGTCCACACGGGCCGCCAGCCTTATTGTTCCTGATGCCCGGCTTCGTCGCCGTCTTCTTCTTTCCTCTCTCCCCAGCTGTCTTGTTGTCATCAACCTCGCTGGACGGTGGTCGACGGAGGTGAACAACGTATAGCACTGTCGTCACCATGGCTGAAGCGATCCCCAAACCCACGGACGGAGACGTCAACCGGGGTCCGGCCGTCATCGCAGTGGCCTGGGCGGAATGCGCCCTCGCCATTGTCGCCGTCGGGTTGCGCTTCTGGGCCCGTCGTCTCATCCGGGGCACTGGTTGGGATGACTGGACGATGCTGTTCACCCTGGTATGTCAAGCTTTCTGCAACAGATAGAGATCTATAGATGGGAGGCTAACAGTCACAAGGGCATCTTCATCCTCTGGTGCGCCCTCGTCACCGACTATGCCCTGCTCGGAGGATTCCGTCATGTCTACTACCTGGCGACGACGGGCGCCAACACGGAGGAGATCACCTATATCAACTACATCATCCAGTTCGTCACCACCTTCTCGTACGCCCCCGCCAAGCTCTCCGTCGCCCTGCTGGTGATGCGCATCGTCGGCTCCGTCTCGGCCGTCGACCAGTCGAACTGGCGCAAGTGGCTGATCATCGTGACCCTGACGCTCACCTGGATCGCCACCATCATCAACTGCATCATGACCTACGTGCAGTGCGACCCCCCTTCGGCGCTCTGGGACAAGACGGTCCCGCACCACTGCTGGGATCCCGAGCTCGAACCGCACTTTGCCTTCTTCACCAGCGGTACGCTCCTCCACCCTCCGTCTCTGTTTCTGCGGACTAACGTGCCCAGCGCTCAATATCTTCACCGACGCCGTGCTCGCCTTCGTCCCCGCCAGCCTGGTCTACAACCTGAACATGGACTTGAAACGGCGAGTGAACCTGTGCATCATCCTCAGCCTCGGCATCCTCGCCGCCATATGCGGCATCGTCAAGACCACGTTCCTGCCATCGCTTGGTGCCCATGCCGACATCACCTGGAACACGTACAACCTGATCGTCTGGGCCGGCAGCGAGCTGTTCGTCCTGATCTTCTGCGGC